TTTTCACTATGCTTTTGAGCTTGATATTGAAGTAATTGTTTCAGGGGAAAGAATAATAATTAGAAACCTTTTAGCATGCGCTGCTTGTTCAACAATTGAGTCTTTGCTTTCTGGAAAGTCGACCTTTTCGGCTTCGGAGTCCTCTGCATAGCATGTTCAACAAAATATGAAATATAAATGAAAAGCAAAAACCAAAGCCAAGAGTATTCTTGATCACAAGAAGTGGAAACCAGCATCTAAATCATAAAGGAAAGGAAAAGAGAAATCAAAGGAGATAGCCTAAACTTCATTCTGGAGCTGCATTTTTGGTATATAACAAATTTGGGGTTGATAAGCAGGAAAAATTATTAAATCTCACAAAGTGAGGAAATGATTGCAAACTATGAAGGTTCTCCTTTTATAAAACACCACATCTCAGCAAGATAAACCATTTGCTTATCTCAAGTTATCATGAAGATCTCAAGTACACTACGTAATAGTATTGCAGACAAGACAGAAAAACTCACCTCAAACAAGTCCTCTTCATAATCTCTTTCACTGGTTTCAGGCAAAAAAACACGAACCATAACCTAAGCAGGAAGTACAACTGACTAAAACTTAGCAGTCAATTCAAGTTAATAGTTAAAAAAGAAAAAGAAAAAAAATAAGGAAATGACAAACCTCCTCCCTTTCGGCACTGTAGAGGTTGCTCTCCAGCTTGTTCTTACTGGGTGTGAAGTCGAAAACATCATGTAGAAAGTCATTTTCCTGTTACAAGAATAAATATTCTAAAAAATAACAGAATGGAAAATTACGACAACAGCTGCAGTGCACAAACATCTAGAAAAGAGATTCGAACCAGCATGTGTGCTACAAACCCACGTCCTAGAATACGCCTGACAAAGTTAACCTGTAAAAGAAGTTAGTGAACAGACTCGTAGAAAGAACATAAATCACGCAAAAGTAAGTAAGTACCTGCAATAATTGTGAAAATGAATGTAACTGCAAGCTGTGTTTGCCAAACTTCAGAGTAGTTTCACCAAAGCAACCTTCCTGAAAAACAAAGATGTAATACTCACTCTCATAGAGATCATTTTTAAGGGTTTAATTACAAAACCCAACTCCAGATTTATCCTGATTACAAGAATTCTGAATCATTTTTTAAAATTATAAAACGCGTAACATTTATTTCTCATTCCAATTCTGCATTATCAACTGGTGGGTATTTGTTATGTATACTTAACACGATATGAGGTATTGTAATTTTAAAAGATATGGAAGTGTTTGGTAATTAAACTAAACCTCAGGGTCGGTTTTGTAATTCTCCCTACATTCAACAAGAAACTCCATAAAAGGATATAAAGTACCTCTAAAACTTCCAAAACATTCAAGGAAAAGTTGTTCCATCCATTAATTGCTTTGACGGCCGCACTTTGAAGTGAAGTGTGACTAGCAAGTTTTTTGGCATGATTGGATACAATATGTTGTAATTCTTGTAAGGAGTAATCATGTTCTGATAAGTTCTTTCCTGTATCCTTTGAGCTATTTTTATCATTTATAGTATAACAAGCAAATTTCTCGAGACACCCGACTTCACATATTAAAGCAATAGCTTCACCAGCTGCTATGCACACAGATCGGTCGTCTGAATCCAGTAGGCCAAGAAAATATGAAGTTGCTCTGTTAAAGAACAATGAAGAGAAATTTCAGTATTTATTGAGATTTCCAATTTCCTCATATATATTTGTCGAAGCCTGAAATTATTTCAGATCTCTGACAGCATATATTAATTGAGATAATAATACTTTACCCATGCCAATAATTGTGATTAAGGTTCCACCCGTCGACTGTTGTGAGGAGAAGAGACCACGCAGAAATAGCCGTATATAAAACAGATGGTGGAAGTTTTTTCACCACAGCCTGAGATAAATATATAAGAAAGCAATTGTGAAGGGAGTGGGTGTGGGGATTATATAGAACATAAATCATAAAAATAGAAAATTTGTTGAGATAATTTTACTCTTTTTTGAATTTATTGAAGTAACGCCAGAAATTGTTCAAACAGGAGAAACAAATTGGAAAAAAATAAACAAACAAACAAAAATAAAAAATAAAAAATGAAAGCAATGTAAGTAAGACTAATCAGTTACACAATTAGGAGGTATCACAAAACACCTTATGTTTGCTGAATGCCCTCTGAGAAGTACATGACATAGGGACTAATCTAAAAAGGAAAACAGTAAGGTCTATTGATATATAAGTAACAAAGACATGAGATTTGGTATAAAATGTGATAGTGCATTTATGTGAACAGAAGTCTATAGAGAGGAAATATTTAATGTAAAATCTGAATGTAGACCAAATTTCACATGAGTCTATTGATGAAATAAATAGGACATACTGATAATATGTGTGAACAGTTTATTTCTACGTCTATGCAGAATTATACATAACAGTCCCGAAAATATTAGATATCGTCGGACACATACAATTTCACCAGATTTTGAACAAATAAATTTCCATATTATCTGCATGGAAGCTTCTGTCTGCTCAAAATCATTGGCACCAACAAAAGCAGCAATAGCTAGAGAATCGATCACCTGATCAAAAAAATAAAGAATATACGATTTGATTTAAGTTAAGAGAGAGAGAGAGAGGAGAAGAAGAATAAGAGGGTTGAAATGTAGAATAGGGACAAATAACGCGACTATTACACTTGCAAATTTCATTACCCAGTATCATACATACAGATATCAGTAATGCTTCGTTCTTAGATTTCAGAGCTTGTGAGAAAACGGGAAGTGTCTCTTTGTAAAGTTCTTGAGAATTATCCCCACAGCCTACTGTGAATGACAATAATCCTGCATAATCACATGAAAGTAAGAGGTAACGATTACAGGCAATTAACTTGAATATGAGTACAGAGTCAAGATCCTGTACAAACTTTTCTAGGCGTGACAACTCAGCACTATGCCGTACTACATTCTATGTGATGATATTTTCAATTATGTACAATGTTGTTTTTACTTTACAAACTTACCACCGGATTTTGTTAAAATCCCTTTAATTTGCATCTAACATGGCTTATAGTGGCATCTCTTACAACGTAATATAAGTATAGTTCCTAATTTCATGTGTAAGAAAACATTTCTCATTTTATCCTTCTTCTATGTGAACGTATATAAATTGGCTGCTAAAGCATAGAGAATAACCAAGAGCTTGAGAAGCCAAAACAATCTCCTTGGAAGTACCCTTCTTGATAGAATTGAGGCATCTGTATAGTAAAGTTGCAAAACTGAAACCAAAGAGACAAAAAAACAAATCATTTCAAAGTGGAAAATGCATGTCGACTCAGAATTAATTGTGAAAGTACAGTAATTCCACAATTTAGTTGATAAACTGACTTTTTCTCCGCAAATTGAGATCGACAGTTAAGTTTCAGGCCATCGATTATTGAAGATAATGCTGCCTCTCTTACAGAAGCCCTATTCACAAAAGAGACTTAGTTAAACAAGGAGATCCAAACAACAAAAACCAAGCATTTCAAAAACTATCATTTCAAATCAACAAACACCTTTTGGTGAATAAATCATCCAAAAGCCGCTCCATATCACCAGTTGACCAATGGGGCTGATATTATTTCCCAATTATAAGGAGCAATTTTGCTGTAAAAATACAGAAACATTAAAAGACAACTGAAATAATCAAAGCAGAAATATTCACAGAGATTTAAGTAAGAGCAAAATTCAAGGCTCACTATGCATTGTGATTTCTCACCACGATAAAACTGTAAGAAGCTTTTAACACGAATAAATAAGGCATAAAAGTAAACATTAATTCTTTATCTTATGGCAATAACACATTACGGAACCAGGAACGAACTGGTAGATAACAAAAAGACAAGAACAATTATGAATTGAAGGTTCCAAAATAGAAACAATACACACAATTTATCAAAAGCTCCAATCTTGGCGTCCAGACTTTGCAATTACAAAAACATAAATTTACAGGATAAAATTATAGGGTTCATCAGTTCTTTTTATGACCACCAAACCTGTTATTGAGCGGCACAGTCCCTCGGTTTTGCTGACGAAGTACCAAATTTTCAAAACTCAAAAGCACTGGTTTATTATTTACTCATCAAGGCTATGAGCGCATACCTGGCTACAAGTAATGGGATTCTTCGAGATTGCTGGCTTCAATATTGAAATTTCCACTCTGGATTTTTTTGATTAATGAGAATTAATTTAGAAAAAATGTGATATTGTTAGTTTTTTTTTTAGAATTTATAATCACGTAAGATAAATTCAACTAGTGTGTAGTCCGTGCGATTCACAGATAAATATTATTAAATAATAATTATAAATTAAATATTAAAGTAAATAATATTAGCTAATAGTTATAAATTAAAGATGATGCTACACAACAATATTAACAAATAATTATAAATTAAAGATGTAGGGTCAATATATGATATAATTTGTCGTATATTAGTTGTAAACAATACAAACTTATCTTATTTAAAAAAAATAAAAAATTTATGTTTAAAATATTAAAAGTACCTAAAATATTATATACCGTGTGTAAAAGTATCTAAATTTTATATATCATTGTTGAAATATGTTAAGTCACCTAAAAATTTATCAAACCATTTGTAAAGAAGACATGTCTAAAACTATTTAAAAAGATGTGAAGTCACCTAAAATTTTCTAAATTATACTTTAAAATTTCTTAAAACTTAAATAAAAGTACCCATTGATAATTAATAAAAGATTTGTACATATGTGGGCTTTTACAGTGGCCTTTTGCTCTTCGCTCATGCAGTGTACTTGTAGGTCTCTTTTCTTAGGTCGTCCTAATTGATGTTAGTAGATCCCACGCATTTAAGTCAGGCGTTCTCCCAACTTAGACCTGATGCCGAGACATATGACCTATTTAGCTATTACATTTCCTCTTTAGCTCGCTCCAGATCCATCTTAGGTTGCCATTATGGTTCATCACCGACTAGGTCGACCTGTTGAAGGTTAATAGGTCTTCTTCATTGATTAGCTCGACCCATTAAAGGTCAATAGGTCTTTCTCACCATAACAATGTTAAACAACCACTCAAAGAATTATATCTCCTTAATACATCCAACTCGCAACAACTTGTCTACCACTTCTTCAATAACTTTGTCAAGCTCCACTCCACGGTGCCTGTGAAGTAAAAGAGCCCTTAATAATTAAAGAAAATCAAAATATATAGACATTAGATTTAACTAAACTAGTACGTACCTTGGGCGATGCACGGGACAGAGATATTGAATGAGTTATTTTCAGAAGCTCGGTCTGTTTAAGTGTAAAAAGTAAGAGGGTTTTCACCTCTTTTAATCAGCGTTAAGTCTAAAAAATAATAGGGTTATAATCTAATATTCACTCCTTTTCCTCCGTGTTAACATTAAATATGAGAATGTTATGGCTAGTTTGTAATACAAATGATATATTATCTCACTAACACATTTCACTAATATAAATTTAATTTTAATATATATATTTATTCCTTGATATAAGAGAAAATAAACAGTTTTAATTATTCTTGTTCACCATATAATACTTAACTATTATTTTATTATAAACTTTGTTATCATATAGTGTCATTATTATTTATAAAAGTTATAGAAGTTGTACGTCTTTTTTTCTTTTTATTTTATGTAATAAAAATATTTCATGCACGTTAGTATTATTTATTTATGTAATCAATTTAAAATATGTAAATAAATTTAAAATTAAATAGTGTATAAATATTTTACAAAATATACACAAATGTTTTTTTTAAATTTAATTTTGTATACTAATTAAACAAATCAAATGCCAAAAACTCAATCTCTTCTATCATTGAGATTTTTCTAATTTGAATTATAATAATCTATAACTTATTTAGATACTCTGCAATAAAAATATATTTTACAAGAATTTCAATATAGAAGAGAAGACCAGCTTCTGCTGGTAAACTCCTGAGGCTTTCAGACCATTGGGAAAATCCTCCTCACAATCTCTTAAAAGACATAGAGACTTATCCATTGTTGTGGAGGAGGAACCACACATAGAAGAGATAGAGAATGACACAAGGAAAAAGCTAACTTACGAAATGCAAAAGTGGAGAAGGCCAGCCTCAAATGCCCCAATGTGACCAATGAAGGTCATGGTGTGGAACTGTAGAGGATTGAGTGGGCCCTCTACAATTTCCCAAATCAAGGATGCAAGAAGACTCCACCACCCAAATATTCCTACCAGCTATCAGCTAGTTTATCAGCTAGTTTTACCAAACATAGCTTAAGTGGCAACCTCGCACGCTTCAGATCCGATGTGTCAAATTTTCATGCTTTGTTATTTAGATTGGATGGATTTTAATTTATTTTCAATTCAAAAATAACTAGGCCTAGAAGATCCATCTATATACGATATTTATGATCCTTTTTAATAGAATTAATTATGCTTTAATATTGTTTCCTATTCTAGATGTGCATGATTTTTTTTAATCCAATCTTTCTTTTTTCTTCATATTTATTTTATGATTATAATAAATTTACTAACATAAATTATAAATATATTTACAAGCTAATATTTTTTTATTTATTATTAATTTTTTATATAAAATATATCAAATTCATTACGTATTGATGAGATTCGATTTGAAATTGTATTTTACATAAATATAAATAAATAGTTATTTTTATTTTTATTTTTATAAAAAAATAAAATTATATACTAATATTTAAAAAATGTGAAAAAAAAATATTTAAATTAATTTAACTACAAATTAGTTATACGATATAAGTTAAAAAATTATTTTGATAGAATTGTTAAGTCGTATAAGTGATGGGTGTCAATTTAAATATAAATAAAATTATAAGTTTTTTAAAAATAAATATTTGAGATGAATTTTTTAATTCTAATTTTAAATATAAATTTATTAACAATCACATGTGTAATACACGCGTATTGTACTAGTATAATATGGTTGAAGAAAAAGAGATACATAGAATAGATGAACAATATATTTTCTTTATTTTGTAAGTGAATAAAATGTCACGACACCAAATGGGCAGGCCACACTCTGAATTCGCTGAAAACATTACTCATTGGAAGCGCCAGGGGACAATCAGGTCATGTGGCCAGAGTAGCTAAGTGCTCGTCAAAGCGTCGAAGTGAAAGCCCCTGGAACTACTGAACGAAATCTGTGCATGAGCCTATCCATACAGGGTTAGTTGTGGCGCAGCTTGGTGGCGCGTTTGTTTTGGGTACAAAATGTCACGGGTTCAAATCCTGTCATCCCTTCAAAAAGACGGTTGTCGCTACTGGATGACGAATTGATCTTTTTTTTTTATTGGTTCATGAATATGAAGTTTTCAAGATATATAAAGTTTTTTATTTGTCTGCAGTATTTTTTTCTCAACATTTATATTGACAACAGTGTACCGAACAAATATAATTCATCATAATTAGAAAAATGGGTTTTATAGTTCTGTCCTATAGGTTTTTTACTTTATTCAAACTCAAAAGAATGCTTCCTTTGCTACGAGAGGTTTTTTGATTGAAAAAGTTATCAATGCTGAAAAAAAGACAGTGACTTTCTTTCGCCAACCAAATTCGTATAAGACGAAATAGATAGATAAAAGAAATTACCGAATAGCTTAGTAAAATGGATATGACTACTGTCGATGGTTTGATACTGAATAAACGAGTATTTCCTCTAGACAGAAGAAGATTCTCTTTGAAGAGTAGTTTTGTACCATCTGCTAGAGCTTGCAGAATTCCCAAAGGCCTTAATAGTTAGTAGACTGGTTTTGTTCAACTACTCTCTCTACTGCACAAGCGCTAATCGTTGAGCCTTCCCAGTCAGAGATATAGTGGAATCACCTTTCCTATTCTTTCTCCCGACCCCACCACTAAGAAAGATGTCCACTTCTTAAAATATCCAGCATACGTAGGAGGAAATAGGGGAAGGGGTCAGATTTATCCCGACAGAAGCAAGAGTGGTTCTCTTTAAGATGATCAATGACCTACTTAACTCAGTGGCTAGAGTATTACTTTCATACGGCGAGAGTCATTGATTCAAATCCAATAGTAGGTAGAATTTATTAGACCATCGCTTGTGGTGTCTAATAAGTTTTTTTGTCTCACCCTTCTCCATATTTATAGATTTTTTTATTTATTTCGATTCTTTTTTTAATTGCCTTCTATTAAAATAGGATTCTGAATAAAAATCTCAAATAAGGATGACAACTTTTACGTGTGTTTATTTATTAAAAAATTTAATTCATACTCAAAATCGAACTCAACTTTAATCCAACATCATTATTTTCAATATTATCAATATAATTAAATAATACAAATTAATCTTCTTACACATCAGATCAATTTTAGTTCACTATGTATCCACTCACATAATTTTAACTAACCAATACTCACATCATCTCTCTTATACTTTTTACTTTTATATCAAATCAATTTTATTTATTTTATTTTAAATATTATTTTATTATAAACTCAAAATCTTACTAACAAGTAACAACTGACCATACCATATTTTTCAAAATTAACCCTAATTAGCAAAAAAAAATATTTTAAGCAGATAAATTTGTATCAACCACGCCTTACAATTTCAGTTCATCACATTGCAGAATTAAGCAACCAAAGATGGCCTTATAATGACCAGTTAATCCGCACTTACACAGTAGGATAATAGTTAATAATTAGTTAACTTTAATACATGTCAAGAAGCATGAAATAAACAAAGGGAAACATCAACCGAGAATTATAATAAGAAAAAGAAAATCCAGGAAATAATTATATTATATATCCAAGTCGTGCAAAAACAGTGGAAAACGTCAAATTCAATAAAACCACGGCACGCTAGCCTTCTCTGTGGATGAGCTTCTGAAAGTGTATTGAAATGTCAATCTCTCGACTTTTTCCACTGTTATCAGCTGTCATTGCTCAATATTTTCTAAATACATAGCCGCGTACAATTGCAAATTGACAACTTAATTATCATCTTAAACCTTATCTGTTTCCATTTAAAAACAAAAAAAAATAAAATAAAATTATATCTTGTGATCATTTCTCACGTCTAAGAAATACGAAACCTGTCGATTATCTCAATTTGATCACATAAAATAGAAACGGAGCAATTATCTCAAAATTTGTATTTACCTAACAAATTAAATTAAATAACATCCCTCAAGTCTCAAGGATGCAATTTGCAATCTATACTTATATTAAAAGGTATACCATTTATCAGATTTAGTATAAAGAAAAGTCAACAACATTTATTGTATTACTATTTCCGTATTATAAAATCTATACTTATATAAAAGGAGATTCTATTTACTATATTTACTATCCAGAAAAGTCAACTGTATTAAATGTCATTACTATTTTGATATTATAATATTTTATTTATTTATTTTATTTTAAAAAGGTAAGTATAATAAAAATATTTTAATAATAAAAAAATCAAATACCAAATAAAAATGTACACTTTGACTTATTTGATTATATTTGGTATTTGATTATACCAAATATATTCCTATTTAGTATATACATTAAATACTTACTAAAGTATTTATTTGTTTTATTTGTCAAAGTTAAGTATAGATTTGTTTATATTATCAAATCATAAAAAAATAATAAATCCATATTGTAAAAAAAAAAAAAATCATATAATTTTATAACAATTCTACTACACTATTTAACAATATTTTTTT